AACACCCTGACACCTCACTACCCATAGGCCCCATGGTAGTTCCTTTTTGTGGCTTTTATTTAGGATCCTATTATGGAATCCCGAAAAGGAACTACTGTAGGGCCTATATGGGTAAGCACATACCAACAAATCTGAAGATTAGCCCTTGGGGTAAACCGCCGTGCTGTAAACTGCAAACCGCAAATCTGCATCAGCCCTCGATTTCCAGCTTCTCAATCCTAAACCCAAGCAGAAGGCTAGCTCAGATGTTTATGTAGGTTGCACCCCAAGTCCAGCAACATGTACTGTTGCAAAATGTCCTACAGAAATACCCTACTAAGCCCTCTTACCCCTGAACCCCGGTTTAGGCTTCCGGAGGTATCTGCCCTAGCCAGCGAGCCTCGACAGCCCCCGACCTGAATGTGAAACGGTTCGGGAATTCGTTGTCATCAACGTGGGCTTTAGCGTTCGGGGGTTGGTGTTTGGGGTTTGGGGTCGAGGGTTTAGGGTTAGGGTTTGGGGTTTGGGGTATAGGGACTAGGGTTTAGGGTTTAGGGCTCAAGGGTTTGGGATTTCAGGGTGTTGGGTCACCATTAGAAAGTACTGGTCGCAGTAGAAAGTGACAGCAGTTATGTAGATGCAGCGGTACTTTGCAGATGCAGTGGTCGTGCAGTCACTGTCGTAGAGCCTGTTAGTAGGTGGTCGTGCTGTTGGCGGTGGCGGTGGTGGTGGTGGTGGTGCTGGTAGTGGCGGAAGCCGTCGTATTGGCTATCGCAGCAGTATCGGTGCAGCAGTTAGTGGTAGCAGTAGTCTTTAGTAGCAGCAGCAACAGCAGCAGCAGCCCGAGACCAAAATGCTAGGGACATGTAGGGCACCTTATGAACCCTACTAGCCCCTGAACTCGCAACCCAAGACATCCCCACCCCCTTGAACCCTGAACCCTGGGCAACCCTAAACTTTGACTCCTAAGAACAGTAGGTCATTTAGGGCCGAGGTAAAACTAAACCTAAGGGGCCGAGTATCTAAGAATCATATACTCTCCCAAATGCTAACCTACGAAACTACCTATAGTCTCCATTGTAGTTCCTTTTTGGGGACACCTTATAAAAATCCTTAATATATAATTGGTTAAACCACAAAAAGCAACTACAATGAAGACTACAGGTACTATCCCTAAACCAAGTACCTACTTAACGAAGCTCGAATGCCGACCTACCAAAGCTGTAAATTCCCAGCGTTTAGGGATTTGGGTTTAGGGGTTTAGGGGTTTAGGGGTGTAGGGTTTGCTTTAGAAGCCCTACATCCCTAGTAGTGCTCAAACCTCTGTCCGCAGCCCACCTGCGCCGCTGTATCAGTTGCCACGCGCCGACCTCCCCCCACACAGTGATTTGGAAGGGAATTACGCAGACTTGGCGAGCAGCCCATGATGGTAGGGTTTGGGGTTTGGGGTTTAGACTTTCTTCAGGTTTGGAGTTTAGGGTTTTGGGTTTCAACCCGAGGACCCTAGAACGGACACATGAGCACCACCCCCTGAACATCATACAGAGTTCAGGTTTAGGTTTGGGGTTGAAGCCATCGCAGTGAGTCTAGTAAGTCTAGTATGTGGATATGGGCTTAAGCGCAAACAACCAGCATGAAGTCTCGGTACCGGTACGGTTTAGGGAAGTCAGGGTGTTGGGTTTTGGGGTCGAGGGCTTAGGCTTAAGACTTCGAGCGGAGTATACCTCTAGGTGTCCATGTACCCATATAGTATCTAGTATAAGCCTTGGCCCGGAAGTACCTACATAGGGACTACTTTAAGGCCGAAGTTTTTACTACATGGGTACATGGAGCCTGGGGGAAACGAACCTCCAAGTTCGGAGCCTGGGCGAGACTGTAGCCAGTGGCAGCAGCCTGAAAACCCCGACGCCTGAACACCCTAAGACCCCAAAACCCCCAACAAAAAGCATAATGCTATACACAGACAATATCCGAAGTCTAAACCCTCAACTCCCCCCCACCTCCCCCCCCCCCAAACCCTAAACCTAAACCCTAAATCCCAAACCCTAAACCCTAAACCCCAAACCCTAAACACTAAACATCAAATCCTAAACCCTCAACCTAAACCTGAAATCCTAAACCCTAGACCCTAAACCCTGAACCTTAAACCCTAAACCTAAACCCTAAACCCCAAACCCTCCTATACTCCCGGCCCGCTTCAAAAATCGACGGCACCTGCGGCTCCGGCAGCTCAGGCAAGGCTTCTGGGACCTCGCAGAAAAAAATGGCCCTTTAGGTTTCAGTGTTTAGGTTATAGGGTTTTAGGGTTTAGGGCTTAGGGTTTCAGGGTTTAGGGTTCAGGGTTTGGGGTTTGATAGAGTCTATACTGAATTACGGCTTAGGGCTTAGAGGGTTTAGGGTTGAGGGCTGCCTGCCACAATGAGCAAAGCAAGGTCGGGAAAGCTAGCAGACTTCTTTTGTTCGCTGCGGGCTTTAGGCAGCATGTCACTGACTCTGCACGCGAGGAGCATCAATCTCAGAGGCAAGTCCGCGCATCCTAGACCCCAAACCCTAAAGCCGTAGATCCCCACATGCGAAAGCCCTTTAAGCCCTAAACCCTAAAGCAGTAGATCCCTACATGCGAAAACCCTTTAAGCCCTGAACCCTAAACCCTAAATCCTAAACCCTAAACCCTAAAACTTAAGCTTAGATCTCTAGGTGCCAAGCTCTTCTCAAGGTTCCAGGTTGCATAGAAAACATCAGCCTTGCCGACCCTAAACCCTTAACCCTAAGCCCTAAACCCTAAACCCTAAACCTTAAACCCTTAACCCTAAACCCTAAACCCTAAACCCTAAACCCTAAACCCTCAACCCGGGCTTTGCCAAAGAGACTACTCGGCAGATGACTGAGTGTCGGCAGTTCTGAGTGTTCTCGACCACCGTGCTGTACAGACATCAGCTGGGTAGTGTCCTAAAACAGGGTCCCTTTAGGGTCCTCTTTATAAGGGTGCCGTACTAAATTGGGGACCTAAAAGGGGACCCTAATTTAGAGAACTACCCAGCTGTATGGCTTCGGGTGTAAGCCCGCCGGGTTAATAGGGCTTGGAAGCCCACCCTACAGGCATTGTCACTGCGACTGATTTGGGCTTCGGTTTTCGCACCGCCATGCCCATCAGCCGGTCCCGCACCCAACTAAGAGAGTGGGTCTTTTGCAGGACACCGTCAAGGGGAGGGGGCGAGCCCTCCAGATAAGCAGATTTAAACAGTCAACAACCGAGAGACCCCGATCCCTGGACGCAAGCTGATATCTTATCAGGGAGCCCCACATTACAAAACCCTAAACCCTAAACCCTAAACCCTAAACCCTAAACCCTAAACCCTAAACCCTAGACCCTAAACCCTAAACCCTAAACCCTACTTTCGTAAGGGATTCTGAGGTCTCTTGGACTGGCATGGCAAAGCCACCAAGCAGTTTAATTAGGGTATGGCTCTGGAAGTCCGTTGCTGAGCAGCGCCCCAGGCACGACGTGCTGACTTCGGCTTGTTGGATTGTTTCTAGCCCAAAAAACGTTAACCTCCTACCTCTTTGTAGGATTGAACTTCGGCTTGTTGGATTGTTTCTGTAGGGGCTGTACCCTAGCCCAAAAAAGGTTAACCTTCTAGCTCTTTGTAGGATTGAACTACCCGTTTGGTGACTAGAACTGAGAAGCTGCGGATTTCGGGTCTGCAGGTTCAAGGGTTGAGGGTTTGGGGTTTTAGTGTTTAGGTTTTAGGGCTTAGGGTTTAGGATTTAGGGTTGAGGGTTTATAGGGCTTTAGGGTTTACGGTTTAGGGGTTCAGGGGGGTTTAGGGCTGTGCAAAGCCTTCCTCGGCAACTGGACATCCGTTCTTAGCGTTCTTGGCTGCAGACCTGTCTCGGATCCGTGTGGGAATCTCTGGAAGTGCGGAACCCGACACAAACCCATCGACATGTGGGCAATGTAGAGCTTTCCTGCACAGCGAAAATTCGCAAACACCAGACACCTCTTCCGGGGGGGACTGCTATGTCAAGTAGGATCCCATAACAACCCTCTCAAGAGTACTATGTCTTCAGGTGCCGTTTTGGGTCCCGGCCAAATTGTTTTGAGCGGAGGAGCTGACAATTCATTTCCAGGTAAATAAATAAACAGAAGAATATATAAATAAAAATAGTAAATGAAGATATATATATATATATA